CAAGTGCAAACCCCTACCAAGCAGCTCAGCCACTCCACAAACCCTCAGCTCCAGGAATCCACCAGAATCATCTGGAAAGGCATATCACTCTGCACCACTGGGGTGGCTCAGTTTACAAAGCGCTCTCCTGATAGCTCCCTCTTGTGAGGAGGGACTAGCATGGTCCTCATTCCCCAGATGGGGAAACTGAGGCTCAAGGAGGCTGCTCCCCAGCCCTCCTGGCACCTCAATTCCCTATAGCAGCTGGGGGAAGTGTGTCCTCCTGTTTCCATTTCACACATGAGGAAACTGAGGCTCAGAAAGAAGAGTCACAGAGCCAGGCAGTGGCAGAGGCTGGGTCAGAATTTTGGTGACCTACGTCCTCATTTGGGTCCCTCAGCTCTGTCTCTCCAGCCAGACTCCCTCTCTGCGTCTGAGGCTGTGCACCATACCTGGGCCTCCTGTCTCCTGGGGGTAGAAGGCCAGACACAGTTCCCACAAGCCCTTTTCAAAATGCCCCTGATGACCTCTCCGCCAGCTTTCCAGGCACCTCCCCTCAGCACTGGTTCTTACTTCCACACCTTGCTAGCTGGCAGCTGCTACCAGTCTTTCAATGCTCAGGCCAGACATCACCTCCTCCAGGAAGCCTCCCCATCCTGGATCAGCTGCTTCCCGCGGCCTCCCTTAAGACCCGGCTCTTTTCCATCCCCGTGCATTTTCACCCTGGGTTTTCAGGGTCTTCCTGCACCTGTCGGCCCACGAGGTCCACGGTGGGACACCGGAGGCCCCCAGCCTCTCTCATGGCCCCCTTCCACCGGCCGCCCTGGGCCCGCTGTACAGTAAAGGCTCCGCAAATGACCGCTGACGAATACATGAATGAACGAATTCACTGATGACTAAGCGCACGTTCTCAGGCTAAGCCCATTGCTTTCTCAGCCTCCGTGTCACCGACGGCAGGGGGAAGGGCCCCGATCTCCACGTGCCCCGGCAGGACCCCTCCCCCATGCTCACAGCCTCTACCGCAAGCCTTCAGCCTGCCAGGCTAATCTCATGACGCCCTGTTCTCAGCAGCACCCCAGAGACCCAGGGGTCCTGCCAGCCCTCAGCCCCCATATCTGCACCCCGAAGGATGCTGTGGACATAGTCCCCACATCGCACGCCCTCCTGTCTTAATTTACCCTCCTGATGCATCTAACTTCCTACACATTCCACCTGTTTTATTGTTTGAATCCTGTTTCTTCCCACCAGAAACATAAACCCCGCATGGGCCACAGCCTCTCTGTGGTTCAGCACTATGACCTCGGGGCCTCAAACTGAGCCTGACATACAGTACGTGCTCATGAACGGTGGCTGAATGCACCAGCGGATGAGCCAGTTAGCTAATGAGCCCTCCTACTCCCCTCACCTCCCTCCCCCAGTGCCCAGGTGGGGCTCAGCCCCAGGGAGGCCCAGACCGAGCCCCACTGAGGATGCAGCACAGAGTCTGGCCAAGAGCCAGGAGGCGCCAAGTTTTCTGAAAGGTCTGGACCCTCCCAGCTGGCTGCAACCCTGCCCTCTGGATGTCAGCACAGAGGGCCTAATAGCAGACATCTTTCTCTCTGCAAACCAGCCTCTCAGAGGCAATGGGCCCCTTCTCAGCAGAGTCACTCCCCACTCTGCTATCTCTCTTCCTTCCTGGTGCAGGGGCAGGATCGGGGCTTGGAGTGACGGGGGGCAGATCCTGGCTCTGTGTCTGGCCATGCAGAAAAGGATCAAAGGCACTGAGCCATTGCCACCATGGGCATGCAAGCCGAGTCAAGGACTGCAGAAGGCTTGGCAAATCTTCAAAGGACCTATCCAGGCCTGGCATTAGGAGGCACATGGGAACCGAGAAGCACGTGGCAGGAAGGAGCCGCGGTCTCTGAGCAGGAGGCATGGCTTAGCCAGGCCCACCCTGTTCAGGCAGGAGAGCTGAGCACACCCACACCATGGCCTCTCGGAATGCTGCAGTGGGGACACGTTCAAAGACATAATCACCAAGTGCCAGCTCCGCACCACTGCCTGAAATGAGCCTGCGTTTAGCCTTCAGCAAGGCCTCTAATCTCCCCCGCCCCAGCCACGCAGCACTGCGGGTAATTGCAGAGCACCTCTGCCAGCCAGCTGCAGCCACAGCACCGCGGCGCCCCCAGAGGCATCTCTTACCTTCGAAGGCAGGAGCCAGCCGGGAGTCCTGGGAGTCCTGGCCCGGAGCCAGGCGACTGACCGTCAGGTCGCTCTCAGTGCCCCCACGCGGGTTCAGCATGCAGGTGTACACCGTTGAGCCTGGGGGCAGGAGGAGGAACCCAGGTCCACATGGCCCCAGAGCCTGCGAGCCACTTGGCAGGGGGGCTCTTCCTCACAGAGTCTGTACAAGCTCTTGGCATCTAGTGGGGGGTGACCTCAAAAGGCCTCTCAGTTCAGTGATTTCATTTTGGCTGAGTGACCCAGAGAGGGCCAACAATGGGCAGGGCATCCATCCTCGTCACCTTTGTGGGGGGCTTCTGTCTGAAATGCCTCGACCCCTCCTATTCCATCTCTCCCACCCACCCCCACCAGGCTGAGCAGTGTCGAGGGGAAGGATTCCTGTGCCTCATGCATTTTGGTGTCCCCAGCACTGTGCCTGGTACAGGAGAAGAGTCCGTAAGTGGCTGGAGTACATGACTACGAGGCTGGAAGGACAAACAGACAGGGCGGATGAACGGGGTGGATGAAAGGGAAGGTGGCTGGAAGGGAGGCAGGAGTGGGTGAGGGGAAGGGGGAGCACATGGGGCACAGATGGAGGAGAAGAGGACGCCTGGGAGGGCTGTGTGGTGGGTAGACAGGCGGGTGGAGGGGTGAGTGGGTGGGGGATTAACGGGAGGGGTGAGGAGGAGCTGCTCGTGGGAGGGGCAGTGGGTAGCGGGGTTCACTGACAGGTTGGCTGGATAGATGAATGGTGTCCCCCAGAAAGATATGTTGAAGTCTGCATCCCCAGGACCTGTGAATGTGTCCTTACTTGGAAGTATGGTCTTTGCAGATGTCATCAAGTTAAGATGAGGTCAGAGTCTGGGGCTTGGCAATGGGCCAGAAGGAACTGGACAGAAGGCCTAGGGCCAGGTCAATGGGGAGGAGCAGGCTGCTTGGGTTGTCCAGAGGAGACAGGGTCAACCAGTCACCTCATCCCAGTGCCCCGGGCTGTGCCCATGGAGCTCCATCTGGCGCTGAGGGTGAGAGGATCGTGGCCCACCTGCCCAGGGCACATACCTGGCAGTCGGCTGACATCCGCAGAGAACAGCCAGTCGGCAGCCTTCCTTGCATCCGGCCCCAGCAGGTAGAACTTTCCAAAGTAGGACATGTTGAACACAGCAGCAGCCCCTCTGCAGGCCAGACACTCCTTCTTGATCTGGAAAGTTCCAAGAGGCAGGGGTGCTGCTGGGGGCTTTGAGGTGTGCTTCCTCCTCAAGGACATGGGGGCTGGGACTCCTTCGACATGACTGCTCTGAGCTCCCGTCCCTCCCTTCCAGCCTGGGCCACACCCCGCCCAGCTCAGGAACACACCGTGATGCGTTCTTCCAAAGCACAGGGAATGTTCTCCAGGATAGATCATAGGCTAAGCCGTGAGACTAGTCTCCAGAAATTCAAAAAGAATTGAAATCAGACAAAGTATGATCTTTAACCACAATAGAACCATATTAAAAATCAGTAGCAGAAGAAAAATTGAAAAATTCACAAAGAAGTTGAAATTAAACAACACACACCTAAAGAACCAATGGATTAAAAAAAATCACAAAGGGAATTAGAAACTACTTTGGAAGTGAAAACACACAGACGAACACCTGTGGCATACAGCTAGCGCGAAAGCGATGCTTGCGGGAAAGTTCATACCTGTACAAGCCTATGTTATAAAAGAAGAGCTCGAATCAGTAACCTAACGCTCCACATTGAGAAACTCAAAAAAGAGCAAGTTAAACCCAGCGCAAACAGAAGGGAAGAAATAAAGATTAGAAGAGAAATAAGTGAAATAAAAATTTGAAAATAAAAAATTAGTAAAACCAAAAGTTGGTTACTTGAAAACATCAACAAAATTAACAAACCTTTAGGTAGACTGACAAAGGAAGAAAAGAGAAGACACAGAGTACTAAAATCTGGAATAAAAAAGGGGATATTACTGCCCACCTTACAGCAATAAAAGAGATTATGAGGGTGTGCCGCGAACAACTCTGTGCCGGGAAATCAGACCAGCGCAAGTTCCTAGAAAGACACAAATTACTGAAACTGAATGAAGAAGCCATGGAACATCTCAATAGAACTGTACAAAAAAGCGGCTGAATTCGTAATTTTAGGACTCCCCACAAAGAAAAGTCCAAACCCAGATGGCTTCGCTGGTCAATTTTACCAAACATTCAAAGAAGAATTAGTACCAGCTCCTCACAAACTCTTCCAAAAAAAATAAGAGCAGGAAATATTTCCCAACTCATTCTATAAGGCCAGCGTTGTTACCGATGCCCAAACCAAGCAAGGATGTCATGAGAAAACGACAGACCGACATCCCTTTTGCCTACAGATACAAAAATTCTCAGCAAAACACTACCGGGTGGAATCCAATAATATAAAAAAGAATTACACACCATGATCAGTGGAATTTATCCCAAAAATGTGAGACTGGTTTAACATCCAAACATCCATTAATGTAATACACGATGTTAAGAGAACAAAGTACAAAAACCATATGATCACCCAAGAGATGCAGGGAAAGTACCTGTTCATGATAAAAACACACAACTCGGAATAGAGAAAAACTTCCTCGACCTGATAAAGGGCATTGGCGAAAATCACAAAGCTAATATTCTACTTGATGGTAAAGGACTGAATGTTCCCCCCAGGATCAGGAACAAGGCAGGACGTCTGCCCTCACTGCTGGTCAGCATTGCACGGAAGGCCTCGGCCAGGACGGTTAGGCAAGAAAAGAAAGACAAAAGGCATTCAGGTTGGAAAATAAGTAAGACTATCTCTATCTGCAGATAATATGATCTGTTATACAGACGGTCCTAAGGAACCTACTAAAAGCTATTAGAACTAATAAAATATTTCAACAGGGTTGTAGGATACAATACAATATACATAAGACGTACAAAGAGCTACTAAATTTTCTTTTTTCTTTTTCTTTTTTTTGCAGCTGGTGAATTTTACCAAACATTCAAAGAAGAATTAATAGCAGTTCCTCACAAACTCTTCCAAAAACAATATCAGCACCATGCTCTAACCAACTGAACTAACCAGCCAACCCAGCTACTGTATTTCTATACACTAGTACTGAATAATCTGAAAAGGAAATTAAAAACATAATTTCATTTACAATACTATCAAAAATGTTAAAAATGCTTAGGAATAAATTTAACCAAAGAAGCATAAAACTTGTACTCTAATAGCAAGAAAATATATATATATATTTTTTTGTCTTTTTTCGTGTCCGGCAACGGATCGCAACCCTCAGTGTCGCGCCCGAACCGGACCGGGACCGGCAACGGGATCGCAACCCTCGGTGTTGCGCCCGCACCTCGCTCAGCCAGTGAGCAGGAACCGGTCTGTATGTGGGATCCGAACCCTCGGTGGGAGCGCCACCACACTCCCAAGCGGCGCACTGTAGCAGTGCGCCACCGGGCCAGCCCAGAAAATATTTTTTGAAAGAAGTTAAAGAAGACCTAAATAAGTGGAAAGACACCCTGTGTTCATGCAATGGGAGACTTATTATTGCCAAGATGATCTACAGATTCAACACAATCCCTATCAAAATCTCAGCTGGCTTTTTTGCAGAAATTGATAAGCTGATTCTACAATTCATAGGGAGATGCAAAAGACCCAGAATACTCAAAGCAATTCTGAAAAAGAACAAAATTGGAGGACTCACACTTTCTGATTTCAAAATTTACTGCAGATCTGGTCGGTTAGCACAGTAGGTTAGAGTGTGGTGCCGATAACACCAAGGTCTAGGGTTTGATCCCTGTTTCCGACCAGCCACAAAACAAAACAAGAACAACCAAAACTTACTACGAAGGTGCAGTAATCAGGGTAGTGTGGTCCTGGTGTAAAGACAGACATATAGATTAATGAAATATCACCGAAAGTCAAAAATAAACCCTCACACTTATGGTCAATCAATTTTCAACCACCAAGACAACTCAACAGAGGAAAGAACAGTCTTTTCAACTAATGCTGCTGGGACTAAACATCCACACGAACAGGGTGCAGCTGGACTCCAACCTTACGCCAGGCACAGAGATGAACTCCAATGGTCGTAGACCTAAACGAAGAGCTAAAACTACGGCGCTGCTAGAAGAAAACACAGGACCACATTTTTGTGACCTTGGGTTAATTTCTTAGACATGATATCAAAGTACAAGTGACAAAAGGAAAAAAAAATACAGATGAATTGAACTTCATCAAAATTTTAAAAGTTTGTGCTGAAAGTAAAAAGAGAGCCCGCAGGATGGGAGGAAGTGTTTGTAAATCATATATCTGATAAGGGACTTGTATCGAGAATACATTAAAAACTCTTACAACTCAACAATAAAAGAAGACAAGCCAATTTTAAGATGGGCAAAGGATCTGATAAACACTTCTCCAAAGATGGATGGAAAGACGTTCAACTCATTAGTCGTTAGGGAAAGGCCAGTCTAAACCCTGATGAGATACCGCTCCACACCCCCCAGGATGGCCGGAATGAAAAAATCGGATGACAACAAGTGTCGGCAAGGATGTGGCAGGATGGCAGCCCGTGCGTGCACTGCTGGTGGGACTGTGAAGTGGTGCGGCCGCTCTGGAACACACCTGGTGTTTCCTCAAAATGCTGAACACGGAGTTACACATGACCCAGCCATTCCAGTCCTAGAAATATATGCCCCCGAGAATTGAAAAGACACGTCCCAACCCAAACTCGTACGTGGGTGTTCACAGCAGCATTAATCCTAACAGCCCCAAAGAGGAAACTACTCAACGTCCATCAGTGAATGAATCGATAAACGAGACGTGGGTCCCCACACAGTGGGGCACTGTCATTCAGAATGAAAGGAACGAGGTGCTGACGTGCGCTGCCACGTGGAATGACCTCGAGAATATTACGCTGAGTGAAAGAAGCCAGTCACGAAAGGACGGATATTTTATGGTTCCAACTTACACGCAATGTCCAAACTAGGTAAATTCATAGAGATGGAAAGCCTTGGGCTGGGGTGGGGATAGGGTGGAGGATGGGGTGACTACTAGTGCGTGTGGGGCTTCTTTTAAGGGGAGATAAAAATGTTCTAAAACTAGATTGTCGTGCTGGTTGCACAACCCTATGACCTTACTAAAAAACATTAAATTGTACCCTTTAAATGGATGAACTATATGGTATGTGAATTATATCTCAATAAAGCTGTTTGAAAAAAAGAACACAAGATCTCTCCCGATTTCCCTCCCCGCGGCTCACAAACGCGTCAGGCAGGTTTTCAAGGTCCTCAGTGGTCCACCGTGTTTTCTCCTCGGCCGTCCCTTCCTTCTAACACGTTGCCCAGCTGCTGAGCAGACACGCCAGCCTATTGCTGTTACTGAACGGAAAAGTTATGCCAGCAACTCTGCCACCTGCCAAGCAGTCCATGTGTCAGGAGCTGCGTCCTGCCCTCCCAACCTCAGTGCCACCCCACGAGGCAGCTGCTCCTGCCCCTCCCGGACCAAGTGCTCAGGGCTGCAGGTCGGCCAGCTCTGTCTAGCGGTGCCCTGGCCCCAGAGCCGACTGTGCTGACATCCTCCCAACTCCATGCCCTGCTGGATGGTGCCACGTGGGTGGCCGGACTGAAATCAGCTATGGGAAGAGTATCGACACCAGGGAAATCGGCAAAGGCTAGAGTCCACTTTACCCCTGGAGATCTGGTGGTTGAACACCCAAGGGCACCATGGGACTGTCCTCCTCCTGAGTCCCTGGGCTGCTACCCCACCTCCCTGCAGACATTACTGACCCCTTTTGGAGCTCCCCCTAGTGTTCGGGCACTGCAGTGCCTTTGCTGGGGCTGCTGGGGCTGCTGACTAAAACCCAGAACAGCTTTCCTGGCTGGCGCTTGCCAGCCTGGGCCGGGGTGGCTGCCAACGCTGAGAACAAGCGTGTGTTTCATGCCTCAGGGCTGTTTCAGGCGCCTTTGCGGAGGCTGCGTGAAGCCACACAGCCAAGTTGGCATCTCCTCCGAGCTCTCACATCCTCGAGGGCCAGAAGTCCCACGGGCTTCAGAAGCTGCAGGTTTGGAGGTGCCAGACGGAGCCCCGTGCACCCCCAGAGGCAGCCACGAGGGACTCTGAGAAGGGCCCTGCAACCCCCAAGCTTTAGGACACACAGCCTCCGCTTTCATGCCAGAAGTCCCCTCTGCCACTGCCTTTAACAGGCATTTTACCACTAGAGCAAGTCTGGGGGGAAGTGGGAATGAACACGTCCTTAACTTCAGGACCAGCTACAGAATTTGCAGGGCCCACTGCAAAATGAATATAGGGATCTTGTTCAAAAAGCATTAGGAGTTTCAGGGCAGGGACAGCAAAGTGTCCACCCAGGTGTGGGACCATCCTGGAGCCACCCTACTCCCTCCCCAGAGGCAGCAGCAACTCATCACGATGCTCCCCAGGTCCTCCCTGGCCTCTAGGGACCCTGGTGAGGCTCGGTAAGCACTTTACAAGATGCCTGGGGGGCCCCGGGTGGGAGCTGGCGGTGTTCCTTCTGCAAAGGCTGCCTACGAGAACATTCCTGCACGGTGCAGACGGCTGGAGGCGAGGCCCAGCCCCCAAAGCTCGTCACCTCCACCCCAGTGCAGGGGGCGGGCAGGCACTCAGGCGAGGGGTGGTGAGCTCAGCCTCAGAGGCCCACTTTTACAGCAAGAGGGGCAGTGAGCAGGCTCCCCCAGCTCTGCTCTCCTCCGTTTGTCCCCTGGAGAGGCCTGTCCAGAGGCCCAATGCCCAGGATCGGCGGGCCCCCTTGTCCTGGTAGAACTGTAGGCGGGAGCCCTCTGTGCGTGGTCCTGGGAAGGAGCAGCTCCATCCTCACAAAATCTCACGTGGAAGGGGGCAGAGGCTGGAAGTGCTGCAGCCCTGGCCTGAGGCAGGGCAGACCCAGGCCTGACTGCCTCACCCCGCCCCTGCCTCGAGCAGTAACATTTACCCTCAGGCCTAACGCAGGCAGAATCTCCGTGCAGATGGCGGGAAGAGAGGAGAGGAAAACATCACGTGATCCCGCCCCAGGAACGAGTCAGCCAGAGCAGGGGATGTGGGGAGGAGCCCCGCAGGGCCGGCAGAGGCCAGCCCCCGGGAGGCTCCCCTCACTGCAGGACGGGGGTGCGGGTGGGGACTCCGGCGTCCGCCCGTGGGGGAGCAGCCACTCACCACGTCATGGTGGGGCGGGAAGTCGAAGGTGTACTCATCGCCCAGCAGCTTGTTGTAGGCGCAGTCCTTGTGCACCTGGTTTCCGTAAGCCCCGTAGTAGTCGTAATCGAGGACCTAGGAGGAGGCGACTCAGTCACTGCCCTTCCTCCCCCTCCCTGCTCCTTCCCTCCACAAACACAGCTTGGGGCCTGCTGGTGGCAGGTGCTGAGACGCGTCCTGCAGAGCCAGACTGGTGCTGGCCTCAGCGGGCCTCCCCTCCTGCAGGTGCAGGTATGTTGCGGCCATGGAGGGAGGCCGTGTGGTTCTGGCAATATACACACATACACACACACGCACACGTGCACACACATACGCACACACACACATACACACAGAGACATGTACACACACGCGCGCACGCACACATACACGCACATACACATATACACACGCACACACATACACGCACGCACACATACACACATGCATACACGCACACACATACGCACACACATACACGCACGCACACACACACGTACACACATTCACACACACACATACAGGCACGCACAGATACACACATGCACACACACGTGCACACACGCACATGCACACACACGCACATACACACAGACACGTACACACGCACGTGCACACACGCACATACACACGCACGCGCAGACACGTACACACACAAGCACACGCAGATACACACAAACACACACACGCGTGCGCACGCACGCACACATACACACATGCACACACACACATACACATACGCACACGCACATGCACACACGCACACACACATGCAGACACGTACACACGCGCGCATGCACAAATACACACAAACACACATACACACGTGTGCACACACATTCACACTGACACACACGCACACATACACGCACACGCACACACGTGCACACACGCACATACACACGCACACACATGCACACACACGCACATACACACAGACACGTACACACGCGTGCGCACGCACACATACACACAGAGACATACACATATACATGCTCACACACACATGCACATACACACAGACACGTACACACAAACACATACGCACACTCACACATTCACATACACACACACATGCATACACACATGCACACACACGCACACACATACACAGA